TTATCAATATGTCTCGCCTGAGCAATAGCCTATTTATTTTTAACGAACCTGTAGCACCAGATGCTGGTGGCGTGCAATGTTTGCAGCATGTGTTACACGCGAGGATATTGTAATACAACCCTTCAATGTTTGCAAATCATCGATCCACATCTCTCCTCTGTTTAACTGTTTGAGCATTCTGTATTGTTATAACCCATTTCAAGCGGAATGCGCTGCTTACATAACAACAAAGGCTATGCGCATGTATGTATAAAGCCCACTTGTTACCAGGCATCTCATACACTCGCACACTTCACACCAGCAAGGAAGCTGCTCTATCGTAACGTGTTTATATACTGTTGCTGTTACATTCAACCCAGTAAATATGACGACAGTCAACGTTTTGCCTCCAAAGAATTCACGTACTGACGACTCACTACCAGCCGGCGCAGCTACAAATAACATTACACATCAGCTATGGAGAAGTTTAAGACCGCTGTTGATACAAATGAAGATGTGTGGAACTTGGCCGTGCACAACCGTTGGAGACTTTAGCGCACTAACCAGACGCTGGCGTGTTTACTCTACGGTCATACTTCTTGGGAATATCACAATGCTCTCGTTGTTCATATGCGCATCGTATATAGCTTACACAAACCGAACATATGGAGTATTGATTTCCTGGATACCTTTTATATTTATTCATCGACAGGCCGCGTCTAACATTCTAACGATTATGACACGCGAGCACCAAATAATGAACTGTGTGCAAAGATGGGAACAACTAATTGAATCTGATGAGGCATCAATCAGAATGGTAGCTAACTACACTAGGGTTGGGACCGCACTGCATGTTATAACTAATCTTCTCATCCACGCTGGTTTAACTGTCGCCACTACATATCTTCTGCCCGAATCAATGACGCTCGTTGCTAAACTATGTGCAGCATCTGGCATCATGCTTGGATTTTTCTGCGTATATGTTGATTCCACTGCATCGATTTATTTGTTGCTTGTGTTGCTGTTCGCAAGTCGAAGGCAGTTTAAAGTCATCACCACAAACATTGCAGAGGAAACTAATCTTGAAAGACATGTTGGTGAATATAGAAAAGCACACCAGAAGCTGTGCAGACTGATTGCTGAGACTGATGAACTGTTTGGACCGATAATCGCCATGTACTACGCTGCTGCTATCGGCAGCTCCTTACTAATGCTCTACATGGTGCTAATAAAGAGTTATTGGGCCTTGGGTGTCGCTATTATGGTACACACGTTTATGTTTTTCGTCTCATATGGAGCAACGATTCTTACCATGAGCATGGTTAGTGGAGACATCAACATCAAAGTAAGTCATGAAGAACATTATACGTTAAGCAAAAATAGACGGGAATGATTTTCTATAAGCCCATTACGAATCGAGAAATTGAAATCATGTAGATCCAGTAAAAGTGCAGACGCAGTTAAACGACGAGGAGATAAACAAAAGTGAGTCTTCAGTGAAGAGGCAGAGGATGAGATGAAGGAAGAAGAATGTGGAACTAGGGGAGGGTGCATGGCAAGGATGTATAGAAAGATGCTGAATCGACATGGAAATTTATGGAGAGACGCCGAGGCCAGCAATAGTATTTAGAAATGAATTGAAATTACAAGACATTCTACGATTCTATGTCCTTTATAGAAATAGAATGGAAAGGACAATGACCTCCAACTATTGTCCTATAGACAATACACGCAAGACAAGCCATTTTTTCTGGCGTTTAGCAATAGGTGTAGATCATCTGCCACTGTTTGAATCATGATGTATTACACATATATAAGGGAATTGTAGTGCCGCCCGTCCATATTTGCAAATTATCGGTCAACATCTCTCCCCTAATTAAACATAAAATCATTCTTTATAACTATGATGACGTAGCAAATATCAATGAAAATGCGTATTTCACATACCAAAGACAATGTGCATGTAAAGATAAAGGCCCACTTGTCACCAGATGTATAATACACGCGCACACTCCACACCAGCAAGGAAGCTGCTCGAACGGAATGTGTTTATACACTGCTGCTTTTATATACAACCAAACAAAGATGGTGAGAACTAACGTTTTGCCTCCAAGGAATTTGCGGACGGACGATGAAGCGTGTGCTTTGGCGACCTTTGGTAATAAAACTGAAGATGTATGGAGCCTGGCCAGCTCTTGCAATACAATTATAAAGCCTATATATATATATACCAGTGATCTACACGGGAGTGGCAGTCTACATGGAAGACTTCTCGTTCACGTGTCCAATGCTCTAAGAGGGGCATACCTCCAAAATCTTAACCGCATTGCTTCAACGCTTAGAAGAGAAAGGGCTCCACGATGTCGCATGGATAAGTGCATCATTCGCTCAAACCCGCAGTTGACGTACCTGGCCACAGCTTTCGCAAAAAGGGGAATTGAGAAGGAAAGCTGAAGGTCAACGCGGTATCCCGATGCCCCGGCCACCAGAAAACTGTTTCTGGCATTGCGTTCATTCTGGGTCTGATGCCAGTTCTAATGGGCAAGTTTCTCCCCCAACTTAAGCCACTCTCACGAGGCCTCTCTATCGACTGACCAAGAGCAATCCCCCGCATGGAACTGGGGGCAGTATGAGCAAGCGACTTTTCAGCAGGCTGAAACAGGTGGCTTTGCACGGATTCAGTGCTGGCGCAGTTTTGACGCCATCCCTGCCCGATTGGTGTCATGCGATGCAATCAGAACGTTGGCATTGGAGCAGTGATTGTTTCACCGCTATGACGTGACGGCAAGTGAGCGCCCAATTGCCAACGTATCCAAGACGCCTGACAGAATACACAGCGCCGCTATAGCCAAATTCAGAAGCGGAAGCACTAGAGCTGTCATTTCATTGAACGCTAAACGAAAATTTCCGCAGTTTCTATTACGGTCGAAATTTTGTTTTGGTTACAGACCATAAGCCTCTTTGTATCATGCGTGCTAGCGCTTGGTCGGGGCAACCAAGGGAAACGCGCAATGCTGGCGCCATTCTGTTTGGCTTCCTGGTCTTGCCTGCTTATGCCAGTAGCTGATCTATACAATAGAATATTAGAAAGACGTCGACCACGGAACGCCGATGCTGCTCCAAGTCGCCTGCCATGGACCTGACGTCATCTTTGATGGGTGAGGAAAGTGATGGTCAGTATGTTTGGCACACTTGTCTGCACTATTAAAACGTGGATGTCTACAGCTATCAGCCTAACGGATCCCCCCCTGGGGTCTTGTTGTGGACGAACATCGCAAATCAGGCTAATGGATCCGGTGTATTTGCAACGGGTGATGTCCTGTCTATACCGTGAGGGTATGGCCACCCGATGATTCTACTGTCGAATGTGGAGAGAATGAGTGCTATTTCAGTCAGAGAGCTTCAGAAGCTGGCGATTCACTGTTCGACTAGCCCATCGCCTGTCATGCCTATATGGTTCCAGAGTAGTCATCTCCTGAGAGTCTGTCATCTAGCAAGTGCTTCAATTGCTTGGTCATTTTGGACACTCGGGATACAAGCGGATTGAAGGCAAGCTCGCAACGCACAAGCGGTATATTGGTCCTAGGATTGACACTGACTATTGCAGAGTCTGTGTCAGCAACTGGCACTGCCTGCGCAGAACATTCCAGATATAAACGCAGCAAAGCCTGCCAATCATCGTGGATGCTGCCAGAGAAAGCCTGGAGTAGAATACATCTAGACCATGCCGATAAATTTCCTTAAAGGAAGACAACTGGCTGTCCTGATCGATGCCTACTCTATAATACCCGCTGTAATGACCACGCGACATAAACTCTATCATCGACGAAAGGCAACCATTGACCTAGCTGGATACAAGATCCGCTCCACTTCGATATCCACACACGAATTGTGACCGATCAATGCCACTACGTTCATGTCTGGAGGAGTTCCAGGCTTGGTGTCGCGAAAGAGGACATCACTCACTTACAGGAGCTCCCTTATTCAACCCATCCACAAATGGAGCCGCAGACGCCCTGGTCCAGACTTTCAAGCAGGACTCAGAAGTCCGACGCTGGCCAGCCAAATGGCGCTGCAGCAATTTCTGATGCAGTAACCGACGTACAACTTAGTGCGGGAAGGGTTTTCTCGCCAAGTGAGTGCTAATCTCAATGGCCGACAGATCAGGTGGCCCATCGATCGATTCTACTATTGGCCTTCTCCTGTCGCATTGGGCACAGGGAACACAGGTCTAAAGGAGGCAAAACAATTCATCAGGCACGGTGAGACAATCGTCATGCGTGTACTAAGACTTAAGTGCATGCCTTACTCACTAGGTGCTTGCCATGTTATGCCAGCTTTACTGCGGCCGCGCGCGAGATGCGGGGAGAGCGCCAAGAAATGGGTCGCGGCGGTTATCTACTAAGGTACATGGTGGCCCCGCCGTGTCAACGTGCGTGTCTACTCCAGAGGACGCCAGTGTGGCGTAGACACATCTGAAGGCAGCTTCGCCCTCGCTTGGGTGTGTAAGATGGACACGGATCCCGAGAGACCCGCCGAGTCTATCCGTTTTTCGGCTCATGCCGCAATCACTCCGCCTTATCCACCGATAAGGACAGGACGGTTACTCCACGTGGAGACACACCGAAATCCTGAGTCAGCAGACGTCAGAAGTGTGAGCCCAATCCGAACCGGAAAAGCGTCGCAATCCGCGCCCTTCCAGTAGGTGACGAATACGGTTCAATTCATCCGAGTACGTTCCGTCGACAGCTCGAAGGCCGCGGACGCAAGGTTATCTTAAGCTATACCCCCTTGACCCGCCTTCCGTGGCTTCGAGGCTGTGGAGGTGTAACATTATTGTCCTCATTTTCCTCTCTATTCAAGGCCCAATAGGTGGCGCTACACCATTTCCTAAAGCCATTACTGCGAGTGGTCCACTCTTAACTTACTGGCAGGCCTGTGAGAGTGCTGAAATAAATCCTTTGTTGAGTTTATTATATTATACGTCAGCTCTTACGAACTTTACTTTCTAGAAATATCAC